CCCGGTGCCGTCACCACCACAGCCTGGAGGGGAGGCCCCGCCCACCGGCGCCGCTCTGCCGCCCAGGCCTCTCCCGCACAGGGCCCATCTCGAGGGCGCGGGGGTTGCCCTGCCCCCTCCTTCCCCAGGAAGGGGTGTGATCCGGGAGGGCCCGTGGCGGTGACTGGGGCTGCCTGCCCTGCCTCGACACGCCTGTGGCTGTGGGTTCGGGGTTCCAGATATCCTGGAGGCGGTTTTCTGTCAGGAAGTGTCTGAGCTTCCATCTGTGTGTGTGGTTCGATTTAGTTGGGATGGGGGTGGAATGAAGCCTTCAACCAAGACCTGGCTTGAAAAACCTGCGCAGAAGTGCACCTCAGTGTTTTTCTGTGGCTGCAAGCTTCAAAGGAGACCAGAAACAGAACACTTCCAGCCCCCAGGACTCCCCGAAAATACACTGATTTTCCGTTAAAAGTGTGTCTCTTGGAAGCAAAGGGAGAGGACAACAATTCTGGATCAGAAAAAAATTAAAAATGGGCTTTGAGATCCTAAAAAAGAATTCAGCCAGGGCATGGAAGCAGAATTTACCTGCTTCATTTTGGGCTTCCAAGCCCAGAGGTTTCGACCATCTAATTGTAATTTTCCAGGCAACCAAGAGCCTCTCCTACTTCCAGCTTGAAGACTCTACTACTCCACTGAGCTCCTGGAGGGATCTTTTTAAAATGCAACCGCTTCTGCACCTCCTGTTCAGCTACACCAAACTCCTCTAGCTTGGAAAGGGCTGGGTGCACTCCCATCTTCCTCCCTTTGCTCCTGTCATTTAGCTGGGACTACCTTCCTCTCTTCTCCATTTGGCTAATTCCCACTGGCCCTTCAAAATACAGCTTCCTGATCCCCACCGTGACTCTCACCCCCAAGACATCCCTTGCCCTCTGTTTACATCCTCCCATGATACTTCAGTTTAGAAAGCTTGTTTTCTATTCTTCGTCGTCCTTGCACCCAGGACTCTGCCTGACCATGCAGTTTGAAATATTTAAGGATGATACAATTGCTATTTTCTAAAAAAAAAAAAGTCAGATAAGGTGTAATCAATAAAAAAGAGAAAACAAGGAGAGATGAGGAGCCCACAGCCCCTCTACAAAGTGACCTTAGCAGATGATAGATGTAGAACCTTTACTAACAGGATCCAAAACCCAGCAATAGAGGCAGTGTGTTTTAATAGATATAGTAGGATACCTGAAATTTTTCTTTCAAACGGCAGACATTGAGCTTCTGCTATGTACCTGGGCCTTGACTGAATGTTGGGAAGACACAGAAGTAAATAGAAAAGATCCAAGAGGACAGTCTCCAGAGATACAAATAAAAGCCACTGAGGTGTGGAGAAAACTATTTCTAATCTTTTTTAAATCTCATCCTATAAAACTGTTGTGTTTATGTTTTTAATATGTATAATAATCATAAGTGTATGTTTTATAAATGAATAAATATACATGTATTTGTATACTCGAATATGCAGAAATGCATACTCGAAGTGATTTGCTGATGAGATTGCAATAAAAACAGTGTAGAGGCCATAACAATGGATTATGATAATACTCCACTGCTAGGAGTAAACTGAAAGTTAGTGTATTGTGGGAGCCCCTGCACCAGCCAAGTGGTTCAAGGCAGGAGAGGAGGCCTTGGCTAGATCAGTACCCTGCACGTTGTTCATCAACAGTGAAAAAAAAACTACTAAGACTAGGACAAAATTTAGAGAAAAATTCCCCTGTCCAAGAGAAAAGGTATACTGCATAATATCACTCAGAAAACATGAAGTAGAAAAAAAGAAAACATGAAGTGGATTTCACAGTTCTTTGAGCAATGTCTATCTTCCTTTCCCTCTTTTCTAAAAAACTTTCCCCCCTGAGTATAAAACCAATGTGTGGAAATGTAAGGGACCCAGAATAGCCAAAACTATCTTGAAAAAGAAGAAAAAAGTTGGAGGATTCACACTTCCTTATTTCAATACTTTCTACAAAAGCTATGCTAATTAAGACAGTGTAGTACTGGCATTAGGATAAACATGTAGATCAATGGAGTAGAATTGAGAGAGACTCCAGAAGTAAACTTTTATATTTATGGTCAATTGATTTTCAACAAGGATGCCAAGACCATTCAATAGGGAAAGAGAATCTTTTCAACAAATGGTGCTGTGACAACTGGATATCCACATGTAAAACAATGAAATTAGACTAATTCTTGCTACAATAAACAAACTTTAACAAATTGGATCATAGTTTATATGTAAGAACTAAAACTATAAAACTCTTAGACATTTACATAAAAGTAAATGTTTGTAATCTTGGGTTGGGCAATGGGTTCTTATATAAAATACCAAGAGCATGGGCAACAAAAGAAAAATAGATAAATTAGACTTCATCAAAACTAAAAACATTTTTGTTATAAATGATACCACCAAGAAAGTAAAAAGACAACCCAAAAATGGGAGAAAATACTTGCAAATCATATATCTAATGAGACTTGTACTCAGAGTATATAAAGAACTCTTACAACTTCAATAAAAAAAAAACAACACAATGAAAAGATGGGCAAAGCATCTAAATAGATGTTTCTCCAAGGAAGATATACAAATGGCCAATAATCACATAAGAAGATGTTTAAGTTTGCCATTAAAGAAATAAATCAAAACCACAATGAGATGCCACTTCACAAACACTAGGATGCTATAATCAAAAAGACAAATAATAAGCACTGACAAAAATATGGAGAAATTGGAACCCTCATACAATTGCTGGTATGCAAAATGATGCAGCCACTTTGAGAAATAGTTTGGCAGTTTCTCAAGATGCTAAGCAAAATTTCCATATGACCTAACAATCCTACTCCTAGATGTATACCAAGAGAATTGAAAAGATATATCAGCAAAAACTTGTCCAAAGATATCGATATCAGCTCTATTCATAATAGCTGAAGAATGTCAACAAACCAAATTTCATCAATGGGTGAATAAATTCATAAAATGTGGAATATTCATACAATGGAATATTATTTGGTAATCAAAAGATGAAATAGTGATACATGATACAACATGATGAACCTTGAAAATGTTATGCTGCATCAATGAAGTCAAACTGGGTACATATTGTAGGATTCCATCTATATAAAACATCCAGAATAGGTAAGTCTGCTGAGATGGAAAGTTAATTAGTGGTTGGCTGAGAGATGGAGTGAGAGTGACTGCTAATGGTAGATGGTCTCTTTTGGAATGATGAAATTTAAAATTAGATTGTGGTAATGGTTGCTCAACTCTGTGAATAAGCAAAAAAAAAAAAAAAAACCCATTAAACTGTGTATTTTTAATTGTACACAAAATGTTCTAAATGGTTGAACTGTTACTATTCTTCTACTACTCGGTATTTAGGTTATTTCCAATGCCTATGTTTATTTTTTAACTAACAAATGAGAACCCAAGTTTTGGAAGCTTTCAATCAGATTCCTATTGAAACCCGTTTTTATTGTAATCCATCTTTTCCACATGAGATATGTTGTCCAAGAAAGGGTAAAATACGTTTCCATGTATTAGAGAAAGTAGATTTTTGGTTTGGGGATTTTTTTTTTCATAAGGAGCAGGATGGGGAGAAGAGAGGAATCAGGAAAATTGCCAGGCATATACTCTTGGCAAGAGATAGGACAGTCATGGGGATATAAAATACAGCATATAGAATACAGTCAATAATATTGCAATAACTATGTATGGTGTCAGACAGGTACTTAATTTATTGGGTGATCATTTCGCATGTTATATAAATGTCTAATCACTATGTTGTACACCTGAAACTAATATAATATTGTATATCAACTGTAATTTAAAAATAAAACAAGAAAAAGTATATATTAAAAGCAGTTGAAAGGAAAAAAATAAAAATATATAATATAAAAAAATAGGACGGTCATGTTAAATTGCAACATAGGTCCTGGGAAGTCCTCACACCAGCCTTTCTGGAAGGAACTCCAGGGGCACCTGCTTCATGGAAAGGAGAGGGGAGCTGAGGTTTACCACATTAGCTCCTGAGCCCCAAACCCACCACACTTTGGGAGGTAAGTTAACACACATATGACCATAGTCATAAGCCCTTGGTTAAGCACCTGGAAAGTTGTCACAAAATAAAGTTCATGGGATTGAATAGTAATTTAATAGTCCTAAGTTGGTTGTTTTGTTCTGAATGAAGTTATGGGAACACCAATAATAAAAAGAAACCTAAAGACACTTGCACTGCAGACAGGAATTTCTCCGTTCAACGTTGCCTGCAAACCGAGCCCTTTCTGTCCTTTAACTAGTAAGAATTGCTTACATTGGTGTCTGTTTTTCTCATATCCACCGAAATGCTGTCAGTTACCATCTAGATGTTGACCCAAATCTCTATCTCTAACCCAGATCTGTCTCCAGAGCTTTGGTTCCTGAATCAATTAGGATCATGTTTTGCTGCAGGTGACAGAAAACCAATCCCAGAGGCTTAACTAAATTAAAGTTTATTTTTCTCAGATGGTAGACAGCCCAGAGCCCTAAAACAGCTCCAAATGCCAGAATCCTTCTGTCTTTCTGCTCTTTCTCCATTAGCATAAGCTCTTCATCCTCAAGGTCACAAAATGACTATATCTTGTCTAAGCATCATAACATTGTTTAGGCAGGAAGAAGGAAGGAGGGCAAGGGTCTGTTCATTATTATCAGGAAAACAATGATGTCCACATAGAGTTTATTGGTCAGAACTGGGTCTCATGACCAACCAGAGTCTGGGAAGATTGTAAGAGAGTCCAGAAGGGTGGTTATTGTAACTGGGCACATCATTGTCCCCAAGTTGGCTTCTGTTAGGAAAGAAGAAGGGTAAGAGGTATTGAGTGAGCAACTAGCAGGATATCCCATAGACCTGCATTCCCAACTGTCTTCAAGACAGTTCTA